CGACAATAAAAAATAAAATGTTATTAGGTAATTTACTGATTTGATGTTTCTTACTGACTTAATTTTAGAATTAGGTATGCAATATGAAAAATTATGACGTCATAATTTGTTAAGTATATCATAGAAATTTTGGCTAGTTAGAAACAACAGTAGGTAGGTATTATTGTTCCGCATGTAACAACTCTTAAAAACACTCGCGATGTAAAAAGAAAATCCTAGGGATTGGTTAACGCTCTGAAAAAGCGTACGAGGTAAAGTAACGTAACAGAATTACGTTATAAATAATTAATTAATTAAACAAGAATTGTGGAGAAACTAAACACTGACATCATTTATAATAAAAAATATTATATAGATTCGCAACTGTTTTCTATTTATAAACACATGCGTTTCTACATGGCATCATAAGGCCTGTTGTAAAATATAGATAGATATTTAGATTTAGATAAAAACTAGCTTTTACTAAACTAGCTTTGACCAGCGGCTTCGCTCCCATCATTTGACCACCTACAGTACCCAACCTATGTAGGTAGTTACCTACCAGCACTTCTCACCCTACACAACCTACCCTACCTTACAAAGGATTAAGGACTACAACCTGAAAATGACAAGCATAGAGACGCGGCGGTTGCGGGCGCTCTTTTGGGCAGGGCAGGCAGGGCAGGTTCTTCGTAATGGGACATCTGCAGCGTATAATAGTTACAATTAAATTTTAATAAGAACGTAATGTGGTAACAATTTGTAATTTAAATAACAAATTCTTACCACATTACGTGGTATTATCTATTATCACGTGGGCTAAGTGTATGTGTATGCGTACAAAAATGTCGTAGGATCGGCATCGATAGGTTGGTTTGTTCCGCTCCCAAAAAATGGTTGATTGGTGATGCCTGGTGGGCTGACTGAGCAGAGCCATCGATAAATGCAACATACAATTAAATTGTACTGTAATTATTGTGGATATTTAAATGTAACGTATAATATCTACAAAATACTTAATATAAAGTAAAATCGATATTTTTTAATATGTAATCTTAGGTAAATGTTTATTTGAAATTGTATGACAAGGGAACAGACTCCAACTCCGTGGAAATATTTTTTTTTGTGACAAGCCCGCCCCAATACTTTAATACCCCTGCAACTCTTGTTAGTCAGGATCTACAGTAGATACAACCATGAAAACAGCGGAACACTGAAGTCCGGCGCGTCCCAGGGATATGAATGGCTGTCTTGGATCTCGCAACTAAATAAATCAGAAGATATTATTTGAGGAGAAGAAAAAACGAAGTAGTTTCCACTTCCCTTGGTAAATTTAATGCAGGAAACAGAATGACTTAAGCCTTAAAGGCACAAAAGAGACTGTAGGTCCTTACCTACAACTGGGAGAAGTCCAGACACCAAATATCACGGAAAATTTACTATTATTATTGAATGGGACTTATGAGTGAGCTTTTATAATTGTTTCCAGTAGATAATAGGTATGGCTAAAACGCGTAAACGCGTGGCAACCGTCCGTGGAGATTGCAAATAAAAAACTGCCCTATAACAAGCCTACTATACTCTGTCCTATGGCCTTCTCCCAGTTCTTAGCTACGTTCCTACTTTTCAGTCAAGTTGTTTCAGCCGTTCTTGAGTTACAAATATCGTTACTAACACGACTTTCTTTTATATATATATAGAAGAAACATTTAGGCTAATATAGGCAGACTAAAAATAAAATACTAGAATCACAGCCCACATTAACATTTTTTGCTGTCATTTATTGCAATCTTAGCACTAAATGCTAACTAATTCAAAAAAAGACTAGACATATTTATAGATGTACTCTAAAAATATCTTATACTAATATTACGAAGCTAAAGAAATAGTTTTTTAAGTGAAATACTTATATTTTTAGATTTATTTATTAATATTACTCTTTCTTCTTTTTTTGTGATTCTAATTAATTGATTCTGTGTTGTGTTTCTTAATTACTTTTCCGGTCATAGGTTTGCAGAAGGAAAGTCCGATATTGAATATTTAGCACCTATATTATACCTACTTACTTTTTTTTGACCTGTTTGCTGTTTGTGAGCTGCCCCCAAAAATGTTCAGAATATTTTTACATTACATGCTCAATCATATTAACGGCCTTATTACAAAACAAGGTTTTCCTTTAGTCCAGGTCTAAACTATTGAGCCAGTTTTTGTATTTCAAATTGAAGGTACGTGAGAATAGGATTCAAAATACAAAAATTGACTCAGTGGTTTAAATCTAGATTAAAATATAAATCTTGTTTTGTAATAAGAGGGTTGAGCTTAACAGATGGAACAATTGCTGATGAGCGTAATGAACGTATATAAGAGATTCTGAAGTTCGTGGCTCCGTATGAATGGCTCCTGTTGGAAAGAAGATTTGGAAAGAACATTTGAATTCGAAGGCAAGTGATAGTTCATATTTGCAGTCGGCGTGCATTAGTCGTGGGAACTGCACACCGATGTGCAAGATGGATAGCATTCTACTTCTTTTTTTTAAAAAAACGTTGCCCTACACTATGGTTTTTTCATGTGTCGTGGGTGCGGTTACAAAATACAATTTCACGTACACATGACACCCAGACCCGGAATAACAATTTGTCAATCAAGTGTCAGGTGGGAATCGAAACCGCGACACGTTGCACGGCAGCCAGTTGCTCAGCCACCGAACCAACCGTGCATTCAAAATTGAAATGCAGAACGTCTGTCTAGACCTAGACTATACTAGAGCCAAAGACATGCTACTTCCATAGTAGCATATTAAAATACCTAATGTATATTCCTATAATCCTGCCCGATAAGTAGGTTAATTAAAATTTTGTCAACCCAGGTATCCCACAGATAATCTGTGAGCAGCGCTGTGGGCTACAATATTGTTAAGTATGTTTTGTATATCCGTAGTACCTAAGCTTTATATTGCAGTTGTTTGCTGTTCTTTTTTGTTAAAAAAAAAATACCTAATGTTGCGAGTTCTCTTCTGTACCTACTTGTAAATGCTCGACCTAGCTTTGGCCCAGAGCAGGAGAAGGAACGAGGGGGTTTTTAGTCAGTAAGAGTCTGATACTCCCTCCCGCCCTACCCTGGGCGGGAGAAGTACGTGCCAACTTTGGTATCTAACAGCGTGTAATTTTACTTCATGAGGTACCAGATACTTATTTTCAAGTTAGTAGGCCATAAATATTATCATGAGACATAAAAACTTAAGTCCGACGCAGAATAACGTGAGGTCATTTTAAATTACATTACCTACCTTCTTACATATTATTTTTGTAAGGACGCATTATAAAAAACTTACCTAATAGTAACAAAAATAGTATGAACAGGGATGTCCATTTAGAAAAGCCAGGTATTTCTTTTTCGGAACGTTAAAAAAACAAAATTTTCTATACGTTCTGTATATTAACATTATCAAAAACCTTTAAGATCAGGTAATAAGGTACCACGGTCTTAGTCTGAAGCGGGAGAAGGAATGCGTTTTTAGTTAGTGACTAAGAGTCTCCCACTCTCTCTTGCCAACTTTTTGGCGACAGAAGTAATTAGATGAATAAGTGTTCACAAAAAAGCACGTATATTTGTATGAATAACTTACTCAAATAATTATTTAAATAATCATAGCGTTAATTGAGTCACTGGATCACCAGTACCTACCTACGTCAACTTATAATGGAACAGCATTCAAAATTGACATAACTGACATTAAACTTGAAACTATGTGTGAATTACTTACTCCTATTATGAAATCGTGCGTTAACGCATGTACGCAAACAATGCATGTATGTTTAACAGCTCGTCAGTTACAAAGGCATATAAATGAATGTTTGATCATTACCTTGTTCTGAGGTGACAATTTGGAGGCTACTTAATGCATTAAGATATTACAATGTTACGTGAAAACAGTCTGACTTATTTAAACAAGCTATCCCTTGTTCATTGATAGAGCTAAACGATTTGACTTCTTAATTTTTAAAGTAGGTACCTACTTCCAAAATTAGGAATGATTAATTTAAATAGATATATCCTTTTCAGTTGCCCATTGCATACCAGACACGCTCTTTTCTTTATAATAAAAAAGTAATCAACGCCGACTTGAAACGCAATTTTTGCGTGGGGTGAACACTCATAAACCACAGACAAAGTGCTGCCATCTGTTGAACATGTAGAGTTATAGAGGTACACTTGTGGTTTATACTTGCCTAATAATTCACAGTAAAACTACTAGAGGGCGTAACCCTTAGTTTAGTATTGCTAATAATACGAGACATTTTTTACCTATTATATACTAGCAATAGGATGCTAGTACTTTTTATAAGGGGTAAAACATAAGTACATAGAGATTAAACAATTAAATGTAGGTACGAAATTTATTCAACACATTTTGCAACAATATTCATTCATTTGTCAAAATAACATCTAGTGCCAACTTCAGTTATAATATTATAGCATTATACACATATTTTCACCCATAAACAGTAAAACAATAGCATTAACCATACTACAGTCTAAGAAACGGGTAGTAATTATTTGGAAAATATGATTATAACTCACAACTCGGCTACAATATTTCATTTCCTTTACAACAACATTTTTTCTGTTTACAATCTATTATTTATTATTATGATAAGTTTATGAACTCACAAATTTAATTAAAGAGGTTGTAGTAGACCGTGGCCTGTTGCTCATCCATAATCATAATCAATAATTAAACGTCTCATTTAAAAAAAAAGTTCATTAAGGCCAGTAATGTGTCAGGATATCACATATTGTTGTCACATAATATATTTACTGTCAGACTAAGTTCATTTAACTACTCAACATTGTAATGAGACTCAAGAGTATAGTTTTTTTGTAGCAAATTGTTTATCTGTGGTACAAAGACCACATATCACAGCCTTTTCCACTGGTATGGTAGAACTATTTTATTTATGGAGTCATCAATGTAATTTTTAATTAATAGGTAATACTTAAATTGTTATTCCTACACTATGTCAGTCTTGTTCATTGTTACTAGAAGTTTCTTCACTACTCTCCTCTTCACTTGATTCCTCGCTAGAGTCATCAGAGTTTCCACTCTTTGCTGCTTTTTTAGCCATCATTTCTTTGAACTGCCTCACAGTGATCTTCCTAGGCATTATTTCACGTAGAAAGTCTAATGTATCATCTTCCTGCACAACCTCGGCTATGTGCTTATATTCCAAGAAAGTGTTTTTACTGTTTTTGAAAGCCCGTTTCGCCAAATCTGTTACAAATAGCTCCTGTAATAAATATATATATATATATATTTATCGTAGTTCTGCTTTTTAGTTAGTCACATAATGTAAATATGTATTTCCGTTTTATTATAAGTTAATCATTGTACTTTGTATAATATACGCCTGCAGAAAAAAGCTATTGTTTGGAGATAATAGGTTATATGAGCGGCAAAACATTCAATACTCACAGTAACTTTGGTAACTAAATACAACGGTTCAGCCCCAACAGCTTCGACGTCCGGTGAACTTTTCATTATAGTTTTAACTCTGGATAGCGGTAAATGCAAGTCTTTTTCAGATTTAGGAGTCGTCATTATTCTGCTTTAATTAATACTACGATTATCACGAAACTACAAACGAAAGGACGAACGAAAGCCCGTGATTTCAAATGTCAAAGTCAAATTGAAATGGTAGTATTGCTGTGTTGCCCTTTTGAACATGAAGTTTACTACCAACAAGGTATAAAAAATGGAAATAAAAAGAATATCTAGCAATACCTTTCAATATGTAATCTTATCAATCCGTTAAACCTAGCTAGCTTAGAAAGCCCTTGATTTCATGCATAAATATCTCTTTAATCTTTCTATCTATTACGTAGGTTAGGTGGTACGTTAGGTTGTAGTTACTAATGACGTAGATCTAAGCGAGGTCTGATATAGGTAATAGATCTTTAAAGATCTAAGCACACATACGGACAAATAGCGAGAAGTGACTGAGTTTTATTATAAACTAGTTTTATGTAGTTTTAATATGTAGCAATTAAAGTTATCGTTGCATTGCCAAAATAAGAGGCCTTTAAATTACTAGGACTTAAAAAAAGAAACTAATATTCATCGTTATGGATTTATTAGTAGATTGTTTATTTCTATGTCTGGCAACATTATAATCCCGCAATTTTTTGAATGAGAAAAATGTTTACGAGATTTATTCAGATTTATATAATTTTGCACAGGAAGTGTGCCCAACTGCCAAGCACCGGGGATAGAAAATAAAAGTCTATAATGGTCTTAACGCTAGCTGTCTTTATTTTCCATTTCCTTATAGAAAATACTTTTACGAAAAACAGTATATAGGGCCGCTTGCGTGGCCGGCCACACTCGCGGGGCGCTGACTAGTGCCGTTTGCCGGCCCAACCAATCCGACATCCAATCAATTCTTACATGAAAACGATAAATAATACAAAAAATACTGATAACGCGAGATCGTTAACCGATTTACAGTGACTTCTCAATTTTGATCAGTTCAGCGATGCCATCGTACATCTCCTTGACGGCGTCGTACTCGGTGAGTCCCATGCGCCTCTTGTTGGAGATGTCGTAGACTCCGCCCTCAGCCTCGGTGTGCTCTCCGCGGGTACCGCGTACCTGCAAGTGGTACTTGGACGCGATCTCCTCCAGCCTTGCCTTGTCGGCCGCCAGCTTGGGCAGCTTGATGTGTACTGAGGCACGTACAGTTGTTCCCAAGTTGGTGGGGCAGAAAGTGAGGAAACCAAGCCTGTCATCATGGGAGAAAGGAATGCGCTTCTCAATGTCGTTGACAGCGTTCACCAGCCTCTTGTACACCTGCTTCAGGTCACCACCCATCTGCATGGAGATCAGACGGAGATGGTCCTCTTCATTGCACCATACCAAGAAGGTCTTGTTCTCATTGTGGTAGATACCACGGCCAGAGGGCCAGAAGCGGCAAGCATTGGCAGCCTGGAGGAAACGGTCACCCTCCTTGAACAGGAAGTGGTCATCGATGAGTTGTTGCTGGGTCTCCTTGGACATACCAGTCAATGGGTAGAATGTGCCCTTGAGCTCTCCCTCAAGTCCAGAGAGAGTGCTGGCAACCTTCTCTTCCATCTCCTTGTACTGGGCCTCAGTCAAGCAAGGGTTGAAGGGGTAGCCCTCCATGGAGCGACCACAGCGCACACGGGTGGAGACAACAAACTCTCCGGCAGGGTCCAAGTTGCCGAGGGTCTCAACATCACCCCAGTTCTTGGCAGGGTGCTTGTCGGTTTTCTTGAAGCCATTGTGGTAATCCTCGATGATGGGGTCGAACAGGTCAGCGAACACTGTGTACGCCTCAGCGTCAGGGGCGTAGATTCCGACACCCGAGTCCAAGTTCTCAACACCTAGAAAAGATTACATAACATCATGTAGTTTACGTGAAACATTATTATAGTTTTTATCGAAAGGTCTCTACAGTTACAAATATTATCAATATGATGTGTTTAATCAGATAACTCTTTTAGTAATAATTCGATTGACGTAAATTACTTTTTGATATGATAACTAAAGAGCAAAGTCTACTTTTATACTAACCAGACTGGATGCAATCCAGAAGAGTTGAGCCGAAGGAGGTCTTCTTGTTCTTAAGAGCGTCGAACACCTCCTTGGTAAGGTACTTCTTCAGCAGTGACTTGGAGTCAGAGGCCTGGAGCTTGCTGAAACCAGCCTCCAACTTCTCGATGGTTGCGGCGTCCACCATTGCTGCGGCTTTTCTGCAATGACACAACATTTCCATTACACATATTTTTTTATTAAACACCTTATTAAAAGAACTAGACTGAACAGGATCCTAACGCTTTTAACGCAGCACAGGTAGCTCTAGTGCACATTTTTGTTAAAGTCTCTTAGAACACGGATATTCGACACAATATTTTATATTATACGTTTCGAATTCGATACAGCCGTAGCCGACTATAACTGAATTGAATTATTTTTTTAAAGTGAAGATAATAGTGACGTGACGTACCCATCAACTCTTGAATCGAGCGGTGGTAGAGTAAACCTATTACAAACATTTAAAAAGTTTTCAGTCGATATTATTCAATTTATTGTATTAATATGAAATTACTATGTTATTATTTTATTTTATTAATTATTCGTTAGAAATAAATAAATAACACACAACTAAGTTAATTTTAAAAATATTACGAACCGCCTGATGAGATAATACGCGAGAACGGCGCCACCGCAAACCACCACAGGAATTGTGACTTTCAGTTTATAATTCATACTGATGGAATTAACTAAAGCCACTAGCTATGTTTAAAACCGGGTGTTAGAACTTTTGGAACTGGAGATGTTACGCGGACTGGTTCGTGTTTGGGATTGTTTTTGGCCGAACACACCCAGGGATACACTTCGTTTTGTGCTGGAATTACGTAATTTAGCTAGAGGTCGCCTTGACCGACACGCGCAAGTCGAACGGATGTGTCAGCTCACTGCGCACCGGTGCTTCTTCGTCGCGCGCAGCCGTACCTCCCACTCACAACCAACGAACGAATGTGTTATCGCAAGTTTCTTGTTACTTTGCATTCATTTCTATTCGAGAAGGTAATGCAGTAATTAAACATCGTCAGATTACGGAATCAACTTATCGTTCCTTGAATTACACCAATCGTGTTATTGGATACGAGTTGATATGATTATGATTACCCACTGAATGTACCTACGTAGGTGCATATTTGCAAAAGAGTTTCTTACAACTTTGTACGTTATCGGAATCATCGGTTTACTATACTTGTTATATTCTCCTCAACACCACCAAAATTCATTTTAAAATGCCACTTATTTCATAAGATGATAGGAAAAGCAAAAAATATAGCTAAAGTTATATGCCGATATAACATACACTATATAAAAATGAAACTTTAAATGGCTACTACTTTGAATCATTACATGGTCAATTTATTTGGTGCTGCCAAAATTTTTGCATCCTGTTTAGGGTCAATGTACGTATTTTCGCAATGAAATCGAGTATACACACAAAAAATAGAATAACAGTAATTATAACATCTATATTGTGAGGAGAATTTGGGTATACAATAGTATCACAAAATAAGAACTAGCTTTATAAACATAAAAATGGGCAGTGAGCACCCGGATTAAAGGCCGGTCAGAGAAATACGCACCCGTCGGCTTCGTCAGCCGGTTTGTTTTCCTTATTTTCTTTCGTTGCACAGCCACCCATTTTCACAAATACTAAACGATAACTAGCCGCTAAAACATGCACTAATTCACTAAATTCTACCGCAAATAAATAAAAGAAACGGGGAATACTATAAATGCAATGATGGAATGATATTTTGTCCAAATGAATGTATCGGAGCCGGGAGTGGCGAGGGCGAGGGGTGGCCCGATCGATGCGCGACACGCAGCACGCACGCGGGTTCACGCTTCCCGCCCTTCGGGAATCGCTTCAAAAGTTTTTGGAGGGAAAGTTCCCCTGATTTGCGCCACCGTTTACCTTCGCGGGTTGCATTTAAATGCAATTCAGACTTCTTCGAATAAGTGCGATATCATCTTATCGGCAAAATAGAACACTTAACGTTATCGAAACACATCTTGAATAGGGATTTAGTTGTCACACAATATACTAGGATCATTTTCCGAGTTTTGAAGCGGTGGTGATGTTGTGGTGAGACACGATCTAGGCGAAACTTTTCGTAAATAGACTAATACTAAATGACCACCGCTTACCTTTCGCTTGTACAACCGTCAGAGTCGACTGCGAGGTGCAGAATGGTCTGTGCGGGTTCGAGCGGAGCGTTAAGCCCGCGGCAGCGTCCCGCGCCCCCCCTTCCCTGTCAACCTTGGCCTTGGTGGTTCTTGCCTGGCCGGCAGATCGCAAGCCAGTTTGGTTTCAAATCGTCATTTGGACCATTATCATTACAGTAGTTATTGAAGCTCATCGTAGTCCAGTTGCAGTTTCAAATATTCTACTGAAATACCCGACTATGGGATTCGGGATGTAAAAATAATGGTTTATACAGTCCATTAAAATACAACTATTTTAATATATATATATATATATATATATATATTTATATATATATATATATCAGGTTTTAGGTAAATTTTTGAGGCAAAACCTTTTCACTTAGCTAATCTCTTTACATAAAAACTTTTCTCAGGCTTTTGTCCCATTTGTAACCATACTCATATTTCAATAAATAAAAAAAAATTGTATCATTTACTTTTACCACAAATTAATAATTTATCACAACTCATTTAAAAAAAAATATTTTGTTAAGTGTATAACATTCTATTTAAATACCGTACATAATCATAATCGATCGATTGTACGGTTCGCGCCACGCACTATTAGTTATCAACGATTAGGTGGGAAAATTTAAAATTAGAACGTTGCTGGTTCTTTTTCGTGCCTGGATCGAGTCCAACACTTGAACGCCAGGCGACGTTAGCAATTTCGACGATGCCAATGTCAAGTTTGTTATTTTTCACTTTCATTGCATAACTTTCTAACCGAGAATGCCGTTTGATTATAATAATAATATAAATAATTACTTACAAACAAAATCCTTGTCACAATTTTGTGACGTAACGTTTGAAAAAGGTTTACCTACTATTTTGGATAAGATTTTCGGAAAATGTTTTCTAGTTTCGCGAAGCAGTAAAGTCAGCTGCTGTACTGTACTCACGCGACCTTTATTCCCCGTTTCCTTAGTCCTTGACCCAGAGATTAAAGTCAGGGACACAGGGTAACAATTACGTAGGTACCTACTGGCGGTCGCGGTCGATTCGTTCACCTACTTTCAAGGAAACCATAAAATTCATAGTGAACGCTCAGCTGAGCGGAGAGTTTATTTTCTCGTCACGCAAGGACAACGAACTGTTTGGTCGATGGGAGTTGAAGTAAGTACTAATACTTTTAAAAATTCATCATGCCTGTTTTTAAAGGTTTGGTAAATTTATATCGCGGCGTAGGTATATCCTTGTGATTTAGGTATGTAACCTACAGAACTTATAGGATTTGAAGCATGATTAGGTAGTACTTAGGTATTATTATTTAGTTTCAAAAAACCGTTTTGTGGGTGCATAGGTATTATTATTTAGCACTTGGGCTAACCCGTTCCTTATTAGAAAGGTACCTACGGTACAAGTTACACTTTCTATTTTAACTGGGAAGAGTCATCGTGGTAGTTATCCCTTCCTGGGCTCGTCAACGTGTTAGGCGAGTCTGACTAACTTATAGCGTTGCAGCGATACCTAGGTGCTTACATTATAGCACTCACACCCTGCTGGACATCGGCCATAGTATGTCAGATGGGACCAGATGGTTCTTTGGGAGTTTGAGATGCACGCGGACTCCGCCACAGTAATGCATATAGGTATGTACCTATAGATAATATTAACACGGTAGGTATAAAATTATTGATACCTAGTATGTATTACCTACCTACCTACCGTCTCGCGACGCACCTTTCCTTCGGGCTTATTATAGGACGGAAAACTATACACAAATACAGTTCGAGAATTAAATAGGTAGGTTCCTACTTATGTTTAGCATGATGCTTATTAATAACTTATATTTCTAAGTGTAGATAGATAGGTACTTACCAACGTGGGCACAATAAATTACATTTATGATTACCTGATTAACTCACAACGTACACATTCACATCTTATCGCAGACGTTTATGCTTTCATGAGATGAGCAGTTATAATTTATTGAGTATCATAAGGTTATTGATGTCAGCCGTTATTACCGTTGCCCTTAAATGCCCTTAATTTATTAGCTTTCGCCGAGATAAGAACTAAATATCTACCTACCTAAACTATTATTATTACCGGGACGCTACAGTACCATGGCTGCCAAGATGAAATACCTAACTACCTACCCAAGTCTAGGTGGTGGTAGAATAACAAAATAAGTACCTACGGTACCTAGATGGTAGGTAACTCTTGTCTTAAGTACCTATTATTATTTGATTTAAGTTGGTAATTTTATGATAAAAAAGAAAATAAGTAGGTAGGTAGTTTTTTCGAGTGGGGTAAATTATCAAATGACTTCTTCCGCACTGGCTGCTGGGGGAGAGGGATACTGACTTGGGTAATTTTGTTAATAGGTAACAGGAACTCCATGACACTTACCTATATTAGATGTAGGTATATTAACAAGCAAGTTTAACATGCCTAAATAGGTACTTATTAATCTTTACAAAGCTTAAACGAATATTTTTTTAAATTAATATTTACGTTTCACCGTTATTTTTAAGCTACAAAACAAAAGTTCAAGGCAGTTTTTGAATTTCGTCAATCGTCGTTTGAGAGGAAATAGCGAAGTTTCCAGAAAAACCTTGGCAATGACTGTGACGGGCGACCTTGTTTTTGGTTCAGTGTATTTAAATAGGTAGGCATGAAAGCGCTGCGAGGCCGCGAGCTAATACCTACTCGTCTATCGTGATCATGATGTTTCAAACGCTATTATTTTCACAAATTTTTTTTTCATAGTGTCTGGTTGGCTTATAGAAGTGCTTAAACGTACTAGGTATTACCGTACCCACTTTTTAATATACGTTTTGTAACATAAAATCACAAATCAAACAATTATTAGGTAAGTAGGTATTTTTAAATAATGAAAACTAAATAATTTTGTATTTCATTAAAATTAAAAAGTATATTTGGAAGGGTGATGGGTATCTGTGTTTATTAACCAGTAATAATAATTGTACTTATACCTAGGTTCACGAAACTTCATTATTTTCTGGATTCTTGGTTGGTATGTATTACACGTCTGTAATTTTGCTACCGTAGGTACCTATCTTGAATTGGTAGTTTGTCACTAACCCATTATTTACCTACGTTAGCCAAATTAAACGAAAGGAAAACACATTGAGATTTATTTATCTACTAGTAACTACGCCATACAAAGGTACCCTTCATAGCTCAGAGAGCTAAAGCTGACCTATTTTTAAAATCTAAAGTTCTAACAAGCGTGAAGGGTCCAATTAGACCAAGGTTTTTACGCGCTTCAGATTCCCTCGCCTTGAGCTGACTGAAGAGGAGGGTTGAAACTTCAGTCAGTTGAAGTATAAAGAACTGGCGAAGAACTTTAATACGGCGTTTAAAGTGCTTACTCTTAGTGATATGAAGGCACGTAGGTATTTAGGCTTTCAGAGTACTAGATATAGTTAGAACGAGTTTCTATATGCTATACATATTGTACCTAGCTAGGAAGTATAATTGGGAAAAACACTTTTAGGTACTTAGTCATAAATAAAATGTAAAATACTCCTGACTCCAAGAAAGTTTACGGGTCCGTACCTAATTGGCCTTTTTCCCTTTTTATAATCCTACCTACCTATCGCAAATAGGCTCAAAAGTTTTTAACACTAGTTTACAGATAAAACGACTTATCTATGCCTGGACAGCTGCACTGTATTTTATTTGCCAAACCAACCTAGTACCTACACACATGAAGTTTAATCATATGATATCACCTAACACGTCGCAGACAAGCCTTCCAATATACGCCTATTGTTTTATTGCTATCTGATTAGATAATTACAAAATTAACTGCAGAATAAAGATTGTGATCGAAGTCAAGTGCGGAGCTTACGCAACAACCTTGAAATTATTATGATGTAGGTAGGCAGTTAATATTTTCTTTATTAAGTTTTAAAGGTGAGTTATTGATCAATGGATCGACAACCAATATGGAATTCAATAGGATAATATAGCATTCAATGTAATGCAAACAGTGTTTTCATTGTGGGTAGGTATTTTTTTATTTTTATTTACGCTGTTCACTGTTTTCTGTACCTACACATAATGTCTCTCGTCCTACCTACCTACCTTTAATCTTTATATTTTTCGTATAATACCTACATCATCTTTAATGATAGGCTTAGATTTTCCATAAACTAGTTATCATTTCACAATCTGTTAGGGGCTTCTTTATTACGTAGAAATCACGATAATCCTGTGCTTCTTGCTCAAGATCAGTATAGTATAGACACAATAAAGTAGTATTCTCTGTAAATATAACTGTAAATAGTCTCCATGGTATCCATAGAATAGAAACGAAGCAGACCTTCCATTCCAACACTGATAGTTTTATGACGTGATAGTTAAATCATGTTTACTCTAGACACGTCTATGCCGTCTACTTCTGAGAGACACGTGGTATAGATCGGAACATCATTTAGCGGGAACATGTGACTTCAATAATGTTTATTTTCTTCTATGTTACTTCGATGACATTGTCAGTGCCACATTAGTTATCTAATATTTGTATTGGGAGCATTAAGAATTTCCATGCCAATCTAGAAATCGGTCTCCTACCTACATTTTTCCAAATTATTCGTCGCCTTTTTTATAAAGTGTTTCCTTTTTTTTAAAGTGACATCTATGTTATTTTGATTCGATAGCTAAAACATCCGTCGGTTGGTAAGTTCTGGTCAAAATGGAAAACAAATAAGTACGCATTTAGACATAAAGGTACCGGCAAGCTAACGATCTCGTTTTCCAGCTCATAATGAAAATACTTTTCAATTTCATCGTGAAACGAACCAGCAAATTCCGGCCTAAATATTCGGGCGGCGGAAAGCATTTGTGTGACCTTCAGAACCTTCATCCATATTAAAACTTACGCCCACGCGAACAAACCACCACAATATTCATAACGTTCCTTTCATTCCAATCTTTTGAATCCTTATAATATACGGTACGGCCGGTATTATGTATCGATTGAAAAGCTTGGCCTTGCCCTATTTTCGTCACGGCCGGCCAATGTCAGTGTCGACGAGAAACCTTGTCCAAGGATCATTTCATGGTTCGTGTTTTTGACGCAATGACGTCAGAGTCAGATGTTTTGTTAGCTAGCTAATTCTAGTTGTTTACAGCTGCTCAACCAGCTTTGGAAGTATTGCGTAAAATTATATTAATCACTATTAGAAAAAAACCTCATTTACGTGATTGTTATTAAGCTCAGAAAAGACTTGGACCATATTTTAAAACAATTATAATAAAGTAGGGTAGGTACTTTGATAAATGCTTTTGTAAAATCTGTCGCTGATTTCTTTATCGATCTTTATAACTTTTTTATTATATTATGCGCCATAAAATACTTGTAAATCAGCAGAAAAGTAAATGAGGCTTCCAGCTACTTAAGATTAGCACCTACAAAGAAGCCTTAAAAGGATAATCTCTAGTCTAGACTGTTTAGCTAAAAATGGCGGTTCTCTATTGGGGCAAGGACAGTGGAATTAACCTCGTGACTCAAGCCATCAGCTGTTTATGACTTAGCAGTAACAATTATGTAAATTAGCGATCATGAACTTGTTTGTTTTACTTTTACTTGACGTAGAAATTTTCTGAATGAATCTCGTTTTGTCCAAAGCTACAAATAAAGGTAGGTCTTACTATTGTTTTCGGCAAAATTTGAAGAAAGTTTTAGTTTTCATCTTTGTGTTTAAGGACTACCTTCCTATATGAAGACATCACGGAAAAATCGGTGTAGGTACTTAATATATTAGGTTTTTATTCATGAAATCTACCAACTTACCTATTGACAAGAAGTCGTGAAGCTGTCGCTGCATACGCCTCAAGTGTATTATGACTAAGATGCCACATCTTCGTTCTTTAAGGAATCAGGCGCGATGATAATATTCTCTGATTTTATTGTATGCTGTATATCTTTAATTGTTAAACAAACACTTTCAAAAATATTCCGTTACATCAATTTGTAATTTAGCAACACTTCGATCGTATCGGTTTATCGCCGATTCTTATCTCGCCCGTTTCACTTGACAACGTGGACTTAAGACAAGCTGTTCTGTTTTATACCTTAACGAACATTCTATAACTTACCTTAACAATTAAAAAAATAAAAATATCGAGACAAAA